AAGTGAAGGTTGCAGATATGCAACTTTGACCTCTATAAATAAAAGAGCTTTTCTAATATTTTCTCTTGAAAGTTTTTTTTTTTGATGAATAAATATTTTATTAATGCTTGCTCTTAAAATTCAAATAAGAGAAATTAATTAAAGAATAGATAATTTGTTATACTGATGCTCTTAAATTTCTAAATCATCGTTCTCTTTATTCTAAAAGAATAAAGAGAACAATGACTTTGCAATAAAATTCACTGATATACTCTTCAAGTGGTGGGGATATGGTTATTGTCTGATAAGTACATAAGAGAGAGATGGTCCTTCACGTTCTTAAATCCCTAAAAAAATACCATTAAGAGTAATATGTACGTTTTGCTTACGTTTTAGAATGGGATTTTTATTTTAGTTAATACTTATGATTTGAAATTTTCATAAATTTCATGTTTCGCGAAAAGGAAATTGTAAATTAAAATTTGTCATAGATACCAAGACTAAAATTTATTTCTTTTTATTGTTTGGATCCCATTTACTGGGCTTTGGAAAGCTTTATTATTTGTTTAAAAAAAAAAATTCTAATGAAAAAAAGTTGTACGATTGAAAGGATTCAAATGAGAAAAGCATTCTAGTTGTACTTGTTTTTATTAAAATTAGAAAAAGTTTTGATAAACTGACAATAGATGTCGCCATTCAAAAAAAAATCGTAAAAATAACTACTTCAAAGCTGCCGCACACTGTTTTTACAATTTTGCTGTCAAATTATAGCTTTTCTTTCTTAAACATATGAATTGCAATATAGGATAGTTTTGTGAATTTATTTTATAATATTTTTTTATTACAAAAATACCTGCAAAAAAAAAAAAACAACATAAATTTCACAAGTTGAATGGAAATGGAAAGCTCGCTCTCTTTAAATTGTCTAAACATTTTCAATTAACAAAACCTTCAATTATTGCTTTTTAAATAGAAAAAATAATAATTAATATAATATAAAATTAAATTTACTAAAAATAACAAGTACTATAATAAACTTGTACTTATGATTAAGAGAAAAGGTCCCATTTTATTCTGAATGGAATGAGAATGACTCAAAGGATATTTTTATTTTGTTTACAACTTTTGTTTTCAACAAAATAGATAATGTGAATGAAAGGGAATTCTTATAAATTGAAAACTTTTAGCTTTAACAGTCTTTAAAACTGTTATGAAGGTCACTTTAAAAAAAAAATCTCATAATTTTCGCATTGATGATTTGTGACTCATATTATTAGACTTTTCATGTGTTCAATATGATTAGCTTTTATAATTATTTTCAGTATTTGAATTCAATACAGTTAAGAAGTTTCTTTTATCATGGACAAAAAATTAAATTACGATATGAAAATAATCAATTATCGTTTTTCAACAAGTATGTCGGAATTAAGAGGAATGCATGTTAAGACAATAAAAAATTGTCAAGATCTACTTAAAAAATCAAATTTTGTTAGGCTTAAGTAATTGAATATTGGATACATATATACACATATACAGATTTATATATACATTACACATATACACATATTAAAATTGAGCTCAGATTTCTACGATATTAAAATGTTAAACTTAGATTTCATACAACCCATATGTTGTAAGTTATTTTTGGTTCCTACAACCCATATTCACCCTATACAAATTCTTAGAATATAAGGTCAACCCATATTGACCCTATTTTCTAAAGCCTATATTGCATTTTACAAATCTTACAAAAATAACTTATGCGTTTCGTTCATAAAATTATTAGTAGGTTAAATTAATAGTAAGGGTCAAATTTTATTTTACTAATAAAATTATCAGTAAAATTATTAGAAAGGTTTCAGAAAAAGTGTTTGCTAAATATGCCAAATTTTCATTGTTGACTTATAATTACTTTCAGCGCTTACATGCTTAAGTAAGTAATAATTATTAACTGACATATTTATAGTAGTGCTAAAAATTTACTAATTTAAATTTTCTTGCGTTATGTCGGCCGCCATTTGAATTTTCATAGGTTTTTTTTTTATTTTCGTACAATCCGTGCAGTTACTTCAAGAATTGTCAAAAAATATAAAATGTATTTGAAATTTAACACGTCAATTAAACTAGATCCTTTTCGAAAATCTCTATTTTCCTATTAGATTATTTAATATTTTAACTTACTTAGTCGAACCCACAAATAAAATATTATTGTTTATTTTGAGTCAAACTTAATTTGATATTTTGTGTTTAGCATGGCTGCCATTATAAAAACACATAAACGAAATTCTTAATGGGAATCGTATGAAAGTTAACAAAGGGGAAATTTAAAACAGTTTCTACATAGCTTAGCATATTGTACGGCTGATGAATGAAATCAAGTTTTTAGAAATAAATCCCATTAAATCAACTTAAAAAAGTAAGCATAAATGCATTGTAGAATTAAAAAATTTTAATTTAATATTATTGAATACAAAATCTAAAATAAAAGTTTAATCTTCTGGATCCGTTATTAAATATTGTGATTATTAACAGAAACCCATTAACCATTTCGAACCCAGCAATCTATAAAAAAAAGTTTTAATTCCAATCTGGTATTATAATAAAGCCTATGTGGGATTAAATGTATACAAAAATCTATAATAGGTTTTGTTATATAAATAACCTACATATTCTGTAAGCTTCTAATTTGTTCCACTTTTTGTTTTGCACGGTTTTTCTTTTAAATTTTCCAGTTGCATAATATGACAATGTTACGTCATACTAATTCAGCTATTCAGCTCTTATATTGTAAATTTTTGAAAAAACTCTTAAATTTCTCAATAAAGCTTCTTTATTTACAAAAATAATAATCTCTTTTATTTTAGGGTAGTTGATTTTGTACTCGTATGTTATATAACCCAATATATATAAGAGTATACATTTTATATATTATACTCTGTCGTGATTAGAACCATAATATACTATTATTATATCATAGCTATTAAGCTCTTAAATTATTATATGTATTAAATAATAGTATATGTATCCAAGTTATAAATTTACATACATATATACGTACATATGGAAACTTTTTAGTCTGGCTGCAGTAAAATTATTTTTCGCGCTTTATATAAAACGAACACTATTTTCATTTTTAACATGATAAGGATACGTAAAAAGTAAATTTTTTCAATTGTATCATGGTTGTTAGCAAGCACGTGCAATATATTTGAAAATTTATTTAAGACGTTATATATGTATCTCCTATATACATACATATATTCTTTATGTAATTGATTTGTTTTATACATATATATATATGTATATATATAAGTATATATATAATACATATACATACACATAATTAAAATCATTGCTGAAAAATTCGTCATAAAAATATATAGAGAATTTCAATGTACAGAAAAATTGGATTGTCGATTTAACTAGTGTGGATTAAATCGGAAAATTTCTATTTATAGTAAAGATTAAAATTAAAAATAAAATTTATTTACTCTTATGTCTATTCTAGTTCCGCAATGGTCTTTAAATGAAATTCAATTTTTTTTTCTTTCCACATTTCTTTCCACATTCATTCAAATTTTGCATTATTTTGGAGTTTTTACATCGCAATTTAAAATTGTGTTGTAAAAAATCTGTAATAAAAGTTAAACGTTTCTAAATTTTGCTTTACAGAAATTCAATGGGGCAATTCCGAAAAAAAAATTTATCTAATATTTTTAAAAAATTTACTAGTTCATTGTTTTAACACTCTGAGTTGAAATATTAATATTCAAGGAAATCGGTAAATTATTTCCCTATATACATCCATATGTTTTGCGCAAAAATACAGCAATATCGGCTCTTAGTAAAGATCCAATTACAGAAACCTAATTTCTTTAAAAAAATTTGGTGGCTCGTATAAAACGTATTGCAATGCGGCACTAAATGTCAAGTAAGTCTGTTGAAAATTTTCTTAAAAATGATAAAAAATGTAAAATGGGCCTATTAGAAGAGTCCACTTCGTGAAACTTAATATAATAATTATGTCACAAGTTCATGAATTCTTGGCATAATCACAGCTAGTTCGTAATTATGTAAGTTTTCATTATTACATATGTAATTTACATATGTTTCCTCTGAATTCAAGATTTAACATTGTAAAACAAATCTCTAGACCGAAACTTCGCTAAAAATGGACATTTTCTGATACAATGGGAAGGTGCATTTTCACCGAAAGCTTTGAATTTGATGTCATCAATAATTTTTACATTTTTTATAAATGAATAGAATTTGATATTCAAGAATGCCTTCTTAAGTATATGACAGGTGTATGTAAAAGTTTTTGCTCAGAGTTTATCTAGGAATCATCTTGATCAATTGCCATATTTATAAAAATTCAGAATTCACTCCAACCTACAAAATTTCATAAATATTCATTTAATGGATTTTAAAATACAGAAGTATTAAAAAACAAAAAAAAAAAAGAAAAATATAAAAGACGAACATTATTAAGAAAGAGAAAAAAATATACCTGAAAAGAACAAAATGAAATCAAAGTGAGTGCGAATGAGATAGAAAGGGAAATAAAAGAAAAATTATACTTTTTTCACTCCTTTTCATTGTTATTTAATTATTTTTCTTTCTTTTCTTATTTTTTTTTTTAAATATAATATGAAATGAACATGATTTCTGTAAAAAAGGATACAATCCATATTTTTATGTACGATATTCACATGTATGTATGTATGTATATGTCAGTCACATATATACTTCTTCATATAAATGTTACATATAGTCACATATTATTAGTACATAATATTAAATATATATAATAATAAAAGTACATAAGTACATACACACAGGCATGTATGCGAATTCTGACGTTTGTTCGTTCGTTATAATTTCACTTCGTTTCTTTATTTCGTTTTTCGTAGGTAATATATTTGTAACAGTATTTTTTTTGTTTTGTCATTTCTCTCTTTATTTTTTTTTTCTGTGTATTTTTTTTTTTAAAGAAATTTCACTTCATTGCGGTGTTACATCTGTTACGTATAAGTCACATGATTTTGTTATTAAACGGTAAAGCGGAAAAACATAAATAACGGCATATAGTAAAATATTAAGCAAAAAACAAAAAAAATAATAATCATAAAAAAATAAAATAAAAGACAAATAAACAAAATAAAAACAAACAAAAAGAAAATGAAAAAAAGTGTTATTTTTTAGTTTTTTTTTTTTGTTTTCATTCTTGTTTTTTTTTTTTTATTTTGGTTTGTTCTTTTGTATAGTTTTTAAAAGAACTACAACAAAGAAATTTTTTCTTTTCTTGTTATTATTATTAACATTTATTATTATTATTATATTTTTATTACTGTCATCATTATTATTATTATTATTGTTATTATTACTGTTGGTGGTGAAGAAGAAGAATAAGCTATGTGTAACAGTTTATTATTGTGTACACATAAATTATTTTTCAAAATATTTTTATTGCATATTTCTTGGGTGAAAAACAAAATTGAAAATTTTTCTTTTTGAAATTTTAATTGAAAAATGTTTACTAAAATAGCTAATACTCACAAGAGTTAAGATCTAGACGAGTACATTTTTTTTGTGTACCTATATATGCTAATACTTATAATATTGCTTTATACTAAAACTTTATAATAAATATTGTATTTTAAAATTTGGTTACTTTTAAAATTCTTCAATGTAAAAATTTAAATTTTATTGTTTAAAAAAAATTTTTCTATTATAAAATTTTAAATAGAATTTTCATTTAATTTCAATAACAATAATGCTAGTACCTAATATGAGCGACTGAGACACAGAGAGAGAGAGAGAAAGAAAACAATAGCAGGACACTTGTATGAAATATTTTTTTTTATTTTTCGAAGTAAAAAATTCCATATATTTTTTGAAAAGTTTGAATCATCATTGTTTTTTTGCCCCCATTAAAACCAAGTGTTTTTATTTAATTATTAAATAATTGCTAGTTATTTTAAATATACAATACTATTTACATATATATATATATATATATACAATGTATATAAAAATAAATAGAGAGAAAATAATTCTCTTTACTTCTCTTAAATAATAATAACATGTATACATGTAATTGCCATTTAGCCTAGTGTAATACACGTGTATGTATTCATTGTGCCTGCATAAATTTTTACTTTATGTATATATAAAATATTTTCAAATATACATACATAATAGCCATAATATATATACACTTTAATTTTCAAAAAATATTTTCAATTTGATTTTGGATATCATCAAAAACAAACTGAAAAACTAAAGCTCAGTTTTTAAATTCATTTTAAATTTATTTTAATATTTTTATTTTAAAAAAAAATTTTGTGTTCGAAATTCATTATATTGTTATACTTTTTTGTGAAATTACATTTGAATTTTTAAAATATTATATTTGTTGTTTGTTTGTTCTAAATAATATGACGAAACAAATGTTAATGTATAATGTAAAATGTTATATAAAACAATTTTATAACAAATAGAAATTTCCATTAATTTTTTTATAAAAGAACACAAGTGAATTTATGATTTACTCTAAATATTTAATAAAAAATAAATTAATTTAATTAATTAACATAAATTATTAATTAAAAAAATATATTTTTATATAAGGCCAAATTACGAAAAATAAATTTTGTTTTAGGAAAATAAAGCAATGTGGCAAAAAAAGACAAAAAATAAACTCACAATTAATAAAAATTCATTAATTTTATTTAATTTAATAAAAAATAAAGGATAAAAAACTGAAAAAAAGGAAAACAAAAATTTTTAATTATTAAAAATTTTCTTAGTTTTTAAGGATTTATTTTGTCAATATATTTCAGGGTATAAGATTAATTTTTAATATATTATCTATATACATATATATAAATTTCATTATATAAAGTATAATATCAATTAAAATATTATATTTAGAATTACGAAAAAAAATTAAAGCTTAATTAACTTAACAACAAAGGTAATTTTGAAAAATTTATAATCAGAAATTTTTTCAGAGCAATAAAAAGCAATTTAATATCAAACTATTTCTATAAAGGCCTATAATAAAACATTAAGTAAATTTATATTTACATACATATACATACGTACATATTAAATTATATATACGAGTATAAAAGATGACAAAAGATAAAACTTTTTTAGTGTAATATTTTATTATACAAACTTACATAAATAAATATATATATAAAAAACAATATAACAATAAAAATTTAAATGAATAAAATTATAAAAATTTTTTTTTACACCTTTATTGTATATTTATAAATGATTTTGTTTCAAAGTTATTTAAACTATTTTATAAGGAAAACTATGTATGTATAGTTAAAGATTATTGTATATGCAAGAAATTATATAGTTAGGCATAAACTCCAACAGAAAACAACAAAAAAAAAACCGAAGTTTTCAATAGTGTATCTATTGTATATAAATTGTATAAAGTTCAAATCGGAAAGCTACTAAATATAATAAGAGTCAAAAATGGAAGTCAATTTTGTTCTCGTAATTTTTATATTAATGTAGGAATTCAGTAAATTTTTATTAAATTTATTAGAAATTTAATAATTGTTAATATTAGAAATGCAATTTGCTTTCAGTCATATAAAAAATGTGTTTATGCATGTGTTTATATAAATTATTATTTATCTTCCTATATGGGGCTATATTTTAATAATTCAACTGTATTTGAGGCAGCCTCATCTTAGAACAATTATGGGTTGATTCACAATTACAAAATAAACGAACCTCTAGGTTTAAATGCTAAGGTACTGTTTGCAAATACAACAAAATCTAAGATTTAATCGGAATTTGATGAAAGATTTAATCTGAGTCTGTAAACATTATTTGAGTTCATAAAATGGCATATGTGATGGCAAATAATTGTAATTATGCTATTCCGATTTCTGATTTACTATAAGATATTTTTAAAAGTAACAATTTTTTTGTAAGGAATTTGAACGGCCGTCAGGTGATTTTTTAGTCTTGGTTATAATTTTTCTGAATTTAAATTTTTAAATAATTTCAGTCTGATATGTATGTAAAGAGACATCAGACTTTGTCGCGTATATTTAATCTTAGATTTTGGCTTGTATAATATCGGGAGGTAATTGCTATACAACTAGATAATTCGCAATTATTACGAGTAGTTAAGAGATATTGAACTTTAAAGATTTAGCAATAACAAATAATTTATCATGAAGTTATCTGGTTTTGGTATTACCATTTTCAGATATTTAAAGACACTTTTAAGCTTAGATATTTGTCGCAGATGAAAAAGCATTCGATTTTATGACGCCTAGGTTAAAATATGTTTATCTAAAAATATAAATTTTCGAGTCATCTAGTTGTAGCATTAACCTCACGATATTTAAACTGTTTGAAATTACTTTGATAATTTAGCTCCATAATATGTCTCAATTCTATTAACTTGTAATTTTTGTGTGTATATAGTGAACAGTATATAAACCGAATACACGATTCCGTAATATTTAATATTTCTAAAATATGATTATAAATATTTTAAACTAATTTTAGTTCAAATCAGCAAATTCACAAATAAAATTGGTTTTACATTAAATCGATATTTCGAATGCTTAATTTTTATACTTTTTATATCTCTTTCAAGTAAAAATGAAAAATTTTATACATACATCCGCACCATAATATTATAGATTTTTTTTTATACAATGAACAAAAATTACTATTCATTCTTATTTATGCAGACAATGAAAAATATATAGGACATGGTTGATTGGTTCTAGTTAATTCTTTTTTAATATTTCTTTAATTAAATTTCTAGAGAAATTATGCAATTTACTTTTAAATTCAGTAGAAGTATATATGTGTATATACACTGTATAATAAAGTTGGGTCAAACCAATGGTTTGTAATGTAGAACTTTTCCCTTCAACATGTAAAAATATTGCTTTTATAAACAATCTAGCATTGTACTACATCACTAAAATTACTTTTATTCGCATTTGAGAATATATTCCAAAAATTGCATACATTTAGGATAGGCAATGTATTGAATCTTTGAAATAAACCAAAAAAAATTCAAAGAAGCGTTAAAATAATGATGAAATTTAAATTGTTAATTAGTTGAGTTATGAAAAATAATTTTAATTTTTAATAGCACGAATTTACTGTTAGCTTTCTGTATTTACAGAAATTTGAAAAAGCTTACGGTTTCAGAAGTATGAGGTGCCAAAAATTCAAATTTTATAAATTTCGAGTGGCGATAACTTGAGAGGAGGTAGAAATGGAAAAAAAATTCTTTTAACGAAATGAACTAGTTGTTAGTGTCTAAAACCTGGTAAAATTTCAGACTTCTAAACCTTTCAGTCTAGAAGAAAAACGATAGCAAAAATTTGGAAACCACGGGTTTTAGGTAACGGTAAATTTTAACGGCCATTTTGTTTTTTTGTTTTTAAAGTTCAAGTATAGTATGGCACGGTAGAAGAAGCAAGCCACTATTTTTCTGGGTTTGCAAAATTTGGAAAATGCTTATGGTTCAGTTGTAATAAATAGTTGAAAAATGGCATTTTTAAGGGTTTGAGGGATATAAAATTTAAAGGGGGGAAAATAGGGAAAAATTTTCTTCTACGGAAATAAGTTTCTAGCAAAGATCTACGTATTTATGAAATTTCAGCTTTCTATCTTCAAGGGTATGAAAGTGTTGTAAACTTGTCCACGGACGGGCGGACGGACGGACAGGGTGAAGCTAATAAGCAGTTTTTTTGAAAAATAACCGAAAAATTTGTAAAGAAAATTAAAATTTGTTAAAAAAAGTTAAAAATAGGTTCCTGTCCAAAACTAATGTTTGAAAATCTCTCATTAGAGAGTTATTACATCAAAATACTCTAAATTTTTGTTAAAATTTAATATTTGCTTCTAGCTCTTATAATAGTGTATAGTCGGCTTTGTTAATCGCTAAATGACTTATCGTCATTCATTCTTATATACGTGTTCAGTTCTACATAGATTTTTGCAAAGATTTGAGTTATACTCGTAAAAATTTTTATGCCAAAAATTACAAAAATTTTCAAATATATTTGTTCACCTGCGAAATTAATGAATTTTCGGATTGCAAAAGTTCGAAATATAGAAATGTCACTGTTTTAAGCTCTTCATTTCACTTTTAATCAGTTTGTAAAACTAAAATAAAACATTCCTTTAATAATTCACTTTCTCTCTCAAAGTATATTTTTCTATATTCACTAAATTTTTACGATTTGTCGTTTATTTTAACTCAGGTGAATATTATGCGTTTGACACTGTTTAGTATCTAGTCAATGAGTGCGAAATTATATGAAATTTGTTTACATCACACTTGGTTGTTTGTGTATTCATTTACTCAATTGTTAACGTAGGGTTTCATTCCGCATCTCACTTATTTACTCACGGGTAAGAAAAATGTGATCATCATAATTTTTGAAATATAATTTTCAAATGAGAAAATTTTTTTTCATAATATTTGCATGTAATTAAATTAAAATGTCCAAAAATTTTCACCGTATAGTAAAAATTTTAAAATATTGAAAATATTTGAACTATTGTTGATTGAAATATTCAACACATAAAAAAAATCATTGTTTAAATGTAATATTTATTTAATTATTGATTTTTGTTTGAGTAGAAAAAAAGGCTTTTAATTTTTTTTTTGTAAATAATTTATTATGCAAATAAATAGTTCAATAATCGTTACTTTAATCTTACATTTACTCAGAGCCCACAACAAAAATAATTGATTTTTAATCTAATTTACACAATATTGCAGTAGTCACTAACTTTCTTGTTTTACCAAATCTATACATATACCACACAAGCTTACCTATGAACGAAAAAATTGAAAGGAAATCCAAATAAATACAAAAAAAAAACAATGGGAACAAAATGAAAACGGTAAAGCAAATAATAGTTAAAAAAAAAAGGTGTTCAATAAGTTTTCAGTCAGTTGATTTAATGTTAGTTATGACCCTTCTTGTATAGCCTATATTCGTACACACACACACACAAGCCCGAATACGTTTAATACCACAAATAATTTTTTATTAGTAATTTTTATGTGACCCTGAATTTCATTATCCTTGTATTCACATTTGTAAATGCATATTTATATTAATCATGCATGAATGTGTGTGTGCATGAATTCTTGTCAATATTGTTAAAAAATATAATATATATATATATATATACATATATATTTTTTTGGTGGTTTCTTTGTTTGTTTATAAAAAAAGAATAAAAATATTTTGTAACATTCAGGAAGAGCCGAAAACAAAAGTAAATCTATTGGGCGAAAATTGTTTTTTCTTTTATTTACTTTTACAGTTATTTTATTGTTTTACATTGTTTTTTGTTTTTTACATTGTATTCATTTTGTTGTCTAACCATAATATTTGGTCGGTCGATCTTTTACCAAAGGCATCACATTTATCGTTCGATAAAATAATGTATATACATTTTTTATTAGATTTCATTATAAAGGACACAAATATGTAGGTAACCATTATATAAAATCCAATTAATATGTCGCTAGGTTAAGCAATAAAATAAAAACAGAAGTTTTTGTTTATATGATTTCATATTATATAATAAATACTTTGTAGTCTTACACACAATAACAAATCAAGGTAAACTTGAATGAGAAAAAATAGAGTTGGAACAGACCAATCGTTTGTAAATTAACACAATTTCCCTAAGCAAATTGGCGATTCAAATTACCTGATTTTCTTAATTTTGTACGAGTATTATGAAAAATTTCTGAAATCTGTTCGGATAACATATTTGCTTGTAATTCTTTGATTTCATGGAAATTTAATAATGGTAAAATTAATGTTAACTTAATGTTCTTTTCCAATGCATCCAACATTGGAAAAGAAGACCAAACTAACAGTTAATTTTAATAACTATTTTTCCGCTGCCAGATTCTGGAGGTGTTTTTCGGTAGAAGAGAAA